AAAAAAAAAAAAAAAAACAAACCAAAAAAAAAAAAGCACAACTGCAACAATGTGGCTATCATTAATGCCACTGAACCGTACACCTAAAAATAAAATAAAATCAGAAATTAAAATTTAGAGTGTTAACTAAAAAAAAATTTTTTTTTCAGGTGGAGTCTCACTCTGTCGCCCAGGCTGGAGTGCAGTGGCACGCTCATGGCCACCGCAGCATCAACCTGGTGGGCTCAGGCATTCCTTCGGCCTCAACCTTCCAAATAGCCACAACTACAGGCACGTGCTACTATGCCCGGCTAATTTTTTATTTATTGTAGAGATGAGGTCTCACCAAGTTGCTGGATCTGGTCTCGAACCCACAGACTCAGGCAATTCTTTCACCTCAGCCTCCCAAATTACTGGGATTACAGGCATGAGCCACTGCACCCAGCTAAAATGTTAACTAAATTTAAAATAAAATAAAAATTGGCCAGGTTTGATGGCTCACCCTGTAATCCCAGCACTTTGGGAGGCCAGTACAAGTGGATTGCCTGAGACCACGGGTTCGAGACCAACCCGGGCAACTTGGTGAGACCTCGTCTCTACAATAAAAAAAATTAGCTGGGCGTGGTAGCACGCGCCTGTAGTTCTGGCTACTCGTAAGGCTGAGGCAGAAGGATCACTGGAGCCCAGCAGATTGATGCTGGGGTGGCCACGAACATGCCACTGCACTCCAGCCCAGGTGACAGAGACTCTAACTCAGAAAAATTAAAAAATAAAATAAAAATAAAAATTGGGCAGCTGTTAAAAATAACCATTATTGACACTATGTGGTAACATGGAAAAGTCTTTGAGGAAATGCTAAGTGAAGAAAAGATTAAGGTTTTTTGTTTTTTAAAAAGATATAAACATTTCTCCTGTTACAACTGGTCTATCTTAGTATCTTCATACTTGAAAAAATCCTATTACGAAAACTGAGGTGAGGCGTGGTCCCAGCAGTTTGGGAGGCAGAGATGGGAGGACTGTTTGAGCCCAGGAGTTCAAGACCAGCCTGGGCAACATAACGAGAGCCTGTCTCCAAAAAAACATTAAAAAAATTAGCCAGGCATAGTGGCATGCACCTGTGGCCCCAGCAACTCAGGAGGTTAGGATGAAAGGATCCCTGAGCCCAAGAGTTCGAGGCTGTGGTAAGCCATGATCATGCCACTACACTCACGCCCGGATGACAGAGTGAGACCCTAACTCAAAAAAAAGGAAAGAAAACGGCAAAGGGGAGCGCCAGGAAGTGGCAGGTGGAACGCATCTGTGCACATGCACCCTCAGGAGCCCCGCAGCATGTGGGCGTGCTGCCTATTCAGGGCTGCAGGACCCTCCTTGCCTGGGCCAGGGCTCTTCACAGGGCCACACGGACTCAGCCCAGGGGCAGGGCACACTCACTGCCTGCGGCTACCAGTCAGTGTTGGTCAAGTAAGTGACTTAAGAGGAAAACAGAGCTTGTGGACACAAGGCCCCCAAAAGACATACAAAGTGGCCTTGTTTGGACAAGGGCTCCCTGGCCTATCACTGTACAGCTTCCTGTTGGGTTGACACTGGTATCCCTTTGCAGACATATAAGATTCAAAGCCGGGCTCGGTGGCTCAGCCTGTAATCCCATGCCTTTGGGAGGCTGAGGTGAGTGGATGGCCTGAGCCCGCAGGTTCGTGACCCGCCTGGGCAGTGAGACCTCATCTCTATAATACATCAAAAAATCAGCCGGGCGTAGTAGCACATGCCCGTAATTCCGACTACTCGGAAGGCTAAGGCGGAAGGATCGCTGGAGCCCAGGAGGCGAGGCTGCGGTGGCCGGGAGCGGCCACTGCACTCCCATCTGGGCGACCGAGTGAGACTCCAACTCAAAAAAAAAGATTCAAGGCCACGCTCAGGCTGTCATCTGGGGCCTACAAACTGGGCAACTGCCCCATGAGTTCCTGAAACCCAGTGTTGCAGGGGGTGCCACGGCTCTGGGGGCATCCTGTAAGGCATCACGGGAAGGCCCCATCCGGGCTGTTACCTTCAATGGCGTCTGCACTGACGACATGGCTGGCGATGGGTGTTGGGTCCACGTAGGCGCCTCCCAGGGCCGGCAGGATGGCTGCCACACTGGCTGCTGTCCCAGGGACAAAAGGAGGGTGAACAGGGAGCAGTGGCCTTCCGGTCCACAGCCACACCAGGAAACAAGCCCCACTGTTTCCTCCTCCTGGCAGTGGGGCTGTTCCTCCAGGCTTTCTTAACCATCCCCTTTCAAGCACTCCCCAAAGCTGCCTCTATTTTCTGAGAGGCTTCCTGGCTCGACACACAGGCCGGTCCAGTTGGCTGAGGCAGTGGGTGCAGCCCACAGTGGCAGAGAGGAGACTACGGTGAGAAGGCAGGGCCGCTGCTGACCCCTGGCTGCTGTGTGCTTCCTGCACTCTTGTCCAACATGCAGTTTTTAGCTCTCCTTTCAATAGCAGGCCTGGTCTAGAAAAACAGCCTCACCAGTGTTGCATGAAAGCATCTCTTTAAACTGCCAAAAATAAGGATACCTACATTTGCTGACCACCAGCTATGTTATCAGAGAGGCACAAAGAATCTGAGTCCTAAATTCCAGGTATAAAATATCAGCTGGGGCCGGGCTCGGTGGCTCAGTCTGTAATCCCAGCACTTTGGGGGCCGAGGCAAGTGGATTATCTGAGCCCAAGGGTTCAAGACCAACCTGGGCAACTTGGCAAGACCTCATCTCTACAATAAATCAAAAAAATTTGCCGGCCGTGGTAGCGTGCACCTGTAGTTCCAGCTACTTGGAAGGCTGAGGCGGAAGGATCGCCAGAGCCCAACAAGTCTAGGCTGCGGTGGCCAGGAGTGGCCATTGCACTCCAGTCTGGACGACAGAGTGAGACTCCAACTCAAAAAAAAAAAAAAGAAAGGACTCCGTCCACCCATCAGGCAGAGCCAAGGCTGATGCAAAATGATGAGCTGTGTCCCCAAGGTGCTGAGCTCCTCGCCTGGACGGTGAGAAGGGCCCTCACCACGGCCCTCAACCTCCACCAGGAGCAGAGACCGAATTGCACCCCTTGAGCGGAGCCTGCCCAGTGGAGGTGAGCAGCGGAACCCGCAGGCTCTGGCATGGCTTCCACGGGGATGCTGAGTTCTCACACCAGCTGCATGTGAGACACGGCTGCCCAGGAAGCCCGCCCAAGAGTCCCTAAAGGGCAGAAGGCAGTTCCTCTGGGGACAATGCCCACAGGGGACTCTCAGCACAGTGTTGGCCAAGGGACACACCACCAGACACCTGCCCGAGCCTCAGCCTCCCTCCTCTGGGGCCACATCACCTCGAGGGTGGGCGTCCTGTGTGCCAAGGGATAGGGCCGCAGCCCCACCCAGCAGAGGCCAGCAGCACCATCGAGTCGTGACGATCCACAGTGCCTCAGACCTCACCGGTGTCCCCCCGTGCCATCACCCCGGCTGGGAACCACAGCCCAGTTTTTGTTCTTATTTTGCCTTTGGAGACAGGTTGCTCAGGTTGGAGTACAATGGCACGATCACAGCTCGCTGCAGTCTCGACCTCCTGTCTTCCAACTCTTCCCCTGCGCCAGTCTCCCAAGTGGCTGAGACTACAGGCAAGGTGACACACGGCTAACTTGCTTGTGATTTTTTGCAGAGATGAGGTCTCACTGTGCTGCCCAGGCTGTCCTGACCTCCTAGTCTCAAGGAATCTTCCGGCCTCGGCCTCCGAAAGCACGAGGGTGACAGGCACAAACTACGGGGCCTGGTCCTGCTGCCCCAGTCGTCGACTCCAACCCTTCTGGATGCTTCAGGGCCGGGGAGACATGGGGAGACGCCAGGCAGCTGCCCCCCTCGGCCGAAGAGGAAACGGTGGCCAAGACACTCCCAGACCGTCCGCAGTGGCCCCGACCGCTCAGGAACCTGGCCCTGCCACGGGTCTCCCGGACACGCAGGCCCTTCCCGAGTGCCTGCCCGCCCCGGCCGTGCTCACCCTCGGTCCACCGGCAGGCACAGGCAGGACGGGGGGTCTGCACCGCCGTGTCCTTCACACGCACCACGGTGGTGTGCTGGCCGCACTGCTTCCCAGACGTGGGAGTGGGGGGCTGGCCGGTCTTCAGGCCTGAGGGCTCAGACAAGGCGTCCTGCACCCTGCTGCGAGGCTCCCTGGACCGGGTCACTGGCTCAGCCACGCTGGGGCTGGGAGAGCTTTCGAAGTCTTCAGAGTAGGCTGCGCTGACCATGTCCACATCGGGAGCCTCAGATGACGCCCTCACACTGCAGGGGCTGTCCGGACGCGCGGCAGAGGTCCTGCCGGCACTGAGATACTCTGAGACCTCGCTCTCCGTGGGGATGCTGTCGTCCCCACCTGCAGATGTGGCAGGTCCCCAAAATGCCGAGCTCCTCGCCTGGGCCCGTGCCGATGCCGCCTGCCTGGCAGGTGACTGGGCCCCAAGGCCTTTGCTGGGTGGTGTTGCCCTCTGAGCGCCTTCAGGCTGAAAGGAAGGACGGCAGAGGGGGCTGGGAAGAGCTTCTGGAAGATTCGTGTGCCGAACGCCACATACCTGGGAGCTGCACCTCAGGTCAGGGGCCCCCCAACTCAGGCAGGCGGAGTGTTTCTGTGTTCCAGACAGAGAGAGCCCTGAATGACTCGCACTGTCCTGCCACAGGGCGTGTTCAGGGCACAGGGATGAACAAAAGTCTCACGTGATCTCCCACAGCATGTGCAGGGGGTGACAGGAAGGTGGAACCACAGGGGCCTGGAGCGGCAGAGCTGGTGAATTGCCGCTGTGGGCGGTCCAGCTGGGATGCATGGTGGTCACCTGGTAAGCTGCAACCACCTCCCCAGGACCCTCACCTGCACTCCCAACCCGGGCACCCTGTCTCACCCTGCGCAGGGCTCCTGCCACCCCGGCGCATGACAAGCCAGACATGTGCCCTGCAGGCAGGGCTGAGAAGCACCAGCCTAAAGGCAAGACCACAGCCGCCTGCCTGTCCACACAGCAAGCAGGTGGAACACGGGGCCGCTGTGCTCACCTCCTGCTCCAAGTCTGCGTTCCTGCCGATGGCTGGAGCCAGATCCTCAATGGATAAAAGGTTGACTCTGAGCTCTGTAACAAAAGGCAGCATGACAGCACTCACCCGTCACTCACAAACACTCAGAGATGTGACGACATGTGGGTCATAATGGGCCACACACTCCAGGGCCAGCCGGGAACACTCCAGTTGCTCGGGGAGGCTCTCTGTGGCGCCGATGCCACGTGGCATCATGGTGCGCGGCAGCAGTGGGTGAAACTACTTGCTGGCAAAGCACCATTTATAAAAGCGATAATGGGCCTGCAGTGCATGGTCTGGACACACCCGGCTGGTATCCAGTGCGCCTGGGGGGGTCACCTGGCCAGCCAGGGGAGAAGCGGGCAAGGCGGGGGCTGAGGAGGGACCCTGGCAGACCCGAGCCACAGCCCAGAGTGTCCTCCGTCCTCAGTCACAGCAAGCCTGAGGAGTGGCAGGAACTCAGGAGGACGCCCAAGTAGCCAGTCCCACCACGCCTGGATTGGCGGGTATGGACTTGGATGCCACTCTGGATTCTGGTGCTCCAGAGGAGGCCTCACCACATGGCCAGCCCTGCTGAACCTGGGCCTTGGATCCCAGCCTCCAGAACTGTGGAAGGCTCACCATCTCCAGGACTCTGTTTCAGTGGCTTGAACCACGACTGGAGGGAGATTCACAGAGAGCACAAAAGCCTAACCCGGCCTCAACCAGGAAGGACCGAATGCTGAGCCGTGACGGGACACAGCCCTCGCTGCCATGGCAGTGCCCTGTGACCACCATGTCAGGAACCCTAGGGGTGGCCCCGCCCACCCCACGGGGTCACTGCACCAGGACGTGGATTACCGTTCAGACTGTTGGCAGAGTCTTCTGAGAGCGAGTCCTCCGAAGGCTCGGCCTCACTCCCGCTGGGGGAGGAGACAGGTATGACGGGTCCCAGCTCTGAAAACACGGATCTGGAAAAGGTGCCAGTGACAGAATGGGGCGGCGAGCGCAAAGCCGTGCCACCAGAAACAGGAGTCTGCGGGGAGCGCCCCCCCAAGAAAGCACAGCAGAGGGGCCCATCAGTGGCCTGAGAGCTTGGCAGGCTTGAAGTCTGAAGCGGCTTTGGGCTGGAAAGTTCTGCGCTGGGTGGTGAAAGGGCTCTTGGTTGAGTTGGGATCTGATAGAAAAGATGTGAAGTTAGCAAATGTGAGACAACTCAGTCCTTATGGCTCAACAAGCAGAGCAACCAGCGTGGCATGAGACCGAGAAGGCAACGATCACACCCCTCAGACCCTCTCCTCTCTCCTCGTTTCTGGGCATCAAGGTAAACATTTAGATACGATAATGCTGGGATCAGAAATTGATCCACGAGGCCACGTGGTGGCTCATACCTGTAATCCCAGGGCTTTGGGAGGCCAAGACGGGAGAACTGCATGAACCCAGGAGTTTGAGACTAACCTGAGCAACACAGCGAGACCTCGTCTCTATGAAAAAATTTTAAAAATCAGCCAGGTGTGGTGGCATGCACCTGCAGTCCCAGCTACTTAGGAGACTGAGACAGGAGGATCGCTTGAACCCAGGAAGTCGAGGTCACAGTGAGCTGTAATCGTGCCATTGCCCACCAGCCTGGGTGACAGAGCAAGATCCCATCTTGAAAAATAAATACATAAAATACTCCACAAATACTTCCAAATACATATTGTTGTTGTTTTTCCGAGTCAGAGTCTCACTCTGTCGCCCAGGCTGGAGTGCAGTGGCACACTCACGACCACCCCAGTGTCGACAGGCTGGGCAGGGACAATCCTTCTGCCTCAGCCTTCCAAGCAGCCAGAACTACAGGCGTATGCTGCCACACCCAGTTAAATTTATATATATATATAGTAGAGACGAGGTCTCACCAAGTTGCCTGGGCTGGTCTCAAACCCCTGGGGTTCAGGCAATCCTCTTGCCTCGGCTTCCCAAAGCCCTGGGATTATAGGCACGAGCCACCGCACCCAGCCCAAATACAAATTGTTACTGACACATTTACTAACTCAAGGCCCTGACAACCCTAAAGGCACATAATCTGTGCCAGCCCGCACCTGTCACAGAACACAAGTGAACGCACGGATTCTCTCCCTTGACACATAGCCTTCTCACCACCTCACACGGAAGGGGGGAGAGGAGGAGGAGGAAGAGGAGGAGAAGGGAGGGGAGGAAGAGAGAGGGCAGGAGGGAGAGAAGGGAGGGTGTGAGTTGCCCTGCAGGCTGCAGCTCCACTCCTGGGTATCTTCCCAGGAGAACTGGAAACAGGGACTCAAATGGACGTGTGCACACCAGTGTTAACAGCAGGGCTGGTCACAACAGCCTAAGAAGGCAGCAGTCCGGAGGTCCACCAGCTGGTGAAAGACAAACACAGCGTGGTCCCTCCACGCACGGAGGACGACGCGGCCATGGAAAAGAGTAAGGCTCTCACACAGGCCACGACGTGGACGACCTGGAGCACGTGGCGCTGAGTGAGAGAAGCCAGACACAACAGGCCACATCTGTGTGACTCCACTGGTGGAAATGTCCAGGACAGACAAATCCACAGACAGGAGGCAGATTTAGGGCTGTCAGGACTTGGAGAGGGGATGGGCAGTGACTGCTGATGGGACGGGGTCTCCTCTTAGGGGATGAGATGTTCTGGCACCAGATAGAAGAGGTGGCTGCATGACACTGTGAATGTGCTGAGTTCCACCGAATTCTGCACCCCAGTTTTTCAAAAGGGAAGCACACACCTTTCCATGGTGCTGTGACAAGCAGGCATGCATTGCCACTGGTGTCCGTCAGTCACACCAAGCGCTGTCCTGTGGCGGACAGTTCCAAGTCACAGACACTACGGCACGCCGACGTGCCCCATCCCCACCTGCCAAGCAGGCCCACCCACCATGGTTGCCTGTGACTACCTGCAGCCCTCACAGACCCACAGACCCTCTCCCGAGGTGCTGATGGGTGGCAGCTGCCACCCAGGGCCCTCGTGTGAGGACTGGCCGCAGCAACGCCAGGACTCTGCTCAAACACCCAACCGAAGCCCTTACCGAGGACAGTGGTGCTTGGGGCTTCTTGCTGACTTTGGTGCTGGCGATGCTTTGCCTCACAGACGGCCTTTTTCCTCTAGAAGTTTCCATCGAGCCTCCCAGCAATGCTTTTACTTCCGCTTCGTCGCTGTCTGGAAAGTCATATCTCCCAGCAGGTTTTCTCCGCTGGGGTGTTTGAAAATCCCTCTCTTTCCCAGCAGGTGCGCCGGGGGTTAGCTTTTCAGCGGGTGGGTCTTGCTTCTTTAGAAACCTGCTGACCTTCCTCTCAGCAGGAGGACATTCTGGGCCTGCTTCCTGGGAAGGAAGGCCAGCTGCCCTCCCAGGGGGAGTCTTGTCTGCTTTCTTCGGGAGACCAGCTTCGGAGGCCATCGGGTCAGACTCCGTGTCCGACAGACTCCTTGGCACCATCCGGCTTGTGAGCTCGGCCTCTATCCGGGCCAGCCTCCCAAGCGCAGCCTCCACTCTGAGCTCTGAGCCTGTGGCAGCAGGCCTCCCGGGGGCAAGCCTGGGCCCGCTCCCCAGGACGGCATTCTCTCTCGGGAGTGAGTGCTTCTCACCCAGAGCTTGGCTTCTTTTGAAGAATCTGCTCTGCCTGGGCATTGTTCTGGTAAGACTCCTACTGATTTTGAAGTCTCTGACTCCTTCCATGTCTGAATCTTCCAGGGAAAAATCCCCAAAATCACCAAAAATGTGGTGCTGGGAACGGCTGGCTTTTCTTGCTGCAGTCATTCTGGGGGAAGGGGCAGGAGATGACTTGTCATGAGGATACTTGCTCCCGCCTGCCTGAATCTCCCTCGACCTTCCGCAGCCCGCCCGCCAAGCCCACAAGCCCACGGACGACAGCAGCAACAACCAGGCGCAGGCCTCCTCAATCCCCCGACGCCGGGTCTCCTGGGCCACGATGGCCTTGAACACGGGGGCCAGCCCCCTCCCATACAGCAGTGCACCCGAACCACATGGTCATCTCACTTCATCCTCACAGCAGGGGTCAGTGTCACACCCCAAGGAGGCGGAGGACCACCCTCACGGGGCAGAACCAAGTCCCTGCCCAGCTCTGACACCAGAGCCTCGCCTCCCACACCACAGAGGCACGGCTCAGTCAGCCTCCCCACCCCCTCTCACCCCCCTGCTGCTGTTCCCACCCCACCAGGTGCCCCCAGTGCTCACAGGGAGCTGCCAAAGCACAGCCTGAAGGCATGCCCGGCAGCATGGCGGGTTTAGCTCCAGACACTGCAAGAGTGTGACTGTCCAACAAAGTGAATCACACACACTTTTTGGTTCCCAAGGCGACACTGTTGTCTACTAAGTGTGCAGCTGCATGCTGTCTAAAAAGCCATGCACATGCCTTAATTAAAACTACTTTCTGGCCAGGCGCAGTGGCTCATACCTATCATCCCAGCACTTTGGGAGGTGGAAGAAAGAGGACTGCCTGAACCCAGGGCTCCAAGACCAGCCTGGACAACTTGGCGAGAGCTCATCTCTACAATAAGTCAAAAAATTAGCCGGGCATGGTGGCACACACCTGTGGTTCCACCTACTTGGGAGGCTGAGGTGAAAGGATCGACAGCAGGTCGAGGCTGTGGTGGCTGTGAGCATGCTGCTGCACTCCAGCCTGAGTGACAAAGTAAGACTCTGACTCAAAAAAAACAACTACTTTCTGACTAACAGTACTTATACGGGGACATGAAGTGAGCACGGCAGCAAGGAAATGCTCGACGCCGGGTAGTCACAGGGCCTCGATTTGTAAAAACACAACATCTGGAAATGCAGAGAAATGAGATGTGCCAGTGTTGAACGAGCTTCCCCTGAAAATCCACGGCCCTGGAAAGGGGGCTGTGGACAGACATGGCTGCCCCGGCCCTATGTCACATGCACATGCTGCTGTGCTCCCCAAGACCCAGGGCACTCACAGCACAGGCCAAGCCAGGAAACACTCCAGACAGAACCCATGCAGCCCTCAAAGGAACCGAGAGGGCTGTGTGCAAAACCCAAAGTAACACGGAGCCAGATGACACAGAGCCATGCCTTCCCTCCACCTTCGGAATATTTTAGCAAGGGTGTATGTCAGCTTTAACCGAAAAAAAAGAAGAAAAAATCAGTGAGACCCAAAAAGGCCTCTTCCCCACCCCTGTCCCTGTCCACTTGGAGAATGATCATATTGGGATTGCCAGACTGACTACTGGACACCCAGTTAAACTGGAATTTCAGAAAAACAGCAAATAATTGTTTAAATTATGACCCAAGTATTTTTTTACTAATATATATACTAGTCAAAATATATATATCTTAAAATAAAGTACTTATATATGTATACAAATATATTTTTTGAAATATATATATATATATATATATATATATATATATATATTTTTTTTTTTTTTTTTTGGTCAGGTCTCACTCTGTCGCCCAGGCTGGAGTGCAGTGGCATGATCACAGATCACCACTGTCACGACCTCCGGGGCTCAGGCAGTCCTCCCACCTCAGCCTCCCAAATAGCTGTGATTGCAGGTGCCACCATGCTCGGCTAATTTCTTTTTATTTTTGTAGAGACGAGGCCTCACTTTGTGTCCAGGCTGGTCTGGAACTCCTAGGCTCAAGCAATCCTCCCACCTTGGCCTCCCAAAGTGCTGGGATGACAGGCGTGAGCCACCGTGCCCGGTCTCTAATTATTTTATACCAAAGAATTATTAGTGGTTTGTCTGCAACTGGATTTTCTTCTGCTTGTCTCTCTTTACTGACCCACACACCTCGAAGATGAAGCTGGCGTTTCACGTTCACTTGCTACATCTGGCTACCCTGACCCTTCCACCTGTCACAGCTGAGCTCGTGTCTCAGGCAAGGAGGAAAGTATTCACCCCGGCCCTTAAGGGTCTGTAGAGAATGAGTGCCATCGCCGTCTCCCGGCGGTCCCAGCCTGGGAGCTTGCCTGTCCCCTCCCGACCCCCCGCGCCAAGGGTGCCCATCCAGTCCAGACCGCGGCTCTGTCCAGGTGGGAACATCACAGAACTCCTGGTCAGGGTGAGGCTGGGCTTGCCCCTCCGCCACTCTGAGCTTCAGCCAGGCCAGTGCTAAGTTCACAGCGTCCACCCTCTCGGGAACGGACAGGGAGTGCCTGTTCAGTGGCTCTTAGACGGGCCGGCGCAGTGGCCGATGCTTTGGGACGGCCAGGAGTTCGAGACCAGCCTGGGCAACACAGCAAGACCCCGTCTCTCCCCCCAGCGGGCAAGCGTGTAGCTACTTGTCCGAGCCGGGGACTCGCCCCGCCGCCCG